TTTCCTAGGGTTGAATTCTTTGAAGTCCCGCACCATGCCACTGCCAAAGCATACTCCTCCTCTGGTGTCCACCGTAGTGGAGGATCTTCTTCCGTATCCGCAATTGCCTTCCCTTTCCTTCTCCCTTTTCGACTGCGTCCTGCTTGTGTTTCAGGAACAGTTTCTGGTGGTGGTTGTGTGGTTGTTTGTTGCATGGAAGTGAAAGCACTGAAAAGGTTTTGTTGAAGATTTGAGTTTTGTTGCATGTAAGGAGATGTAGCAAATTGCATTGGGGGTCTGTTTGAGTTGAGTAGGTTCATATAACTTATGTATTGTGTGAAACCCATCGGGATGGATGTGTTTGGGTTTGGAGGCAGGGTGTTCGGGTTTTGCTCCATATTTGGTTGAAAGGAAAAGTGGATTTTTTTAAGTTGAAAATAGAATGAAGATGAGAAACATTGTGTGGTTAAAATTTTATGTTTGTATGTGTATTTATATGTAAAATACAAAATTTATTTATTTATTACATATTAGCCGTTCTCTAACGGTCAAAAAATCGATCGTTATACTTGTTATGGAACGTTATAGGGGCAACAAAGGGTAACAATTTGGCTCACAACGGAGGAAAAAGAAATAGGGGGGGGGGTCGTAGTTACCACGACGTTGAGGGGAGTCAATGTCAGAAAAATTTTTCTTCTTGATTGCTTTTCTTTCCATCAGATATGATGCTTTTGCTTGAAGTTGATGGTTTAAGACTCGTCATGGATAGATGAAATTAAAAAGTAGTTTAATAGTAGATTAGATTTGTCGTTAATATATATATATATATATATATATATATATATATATATATATACAGGGTTAGGTTATTTTGTTTTTATTAATTATTGTGTGCCATAATGCACAGATCTGGACCAACGGATGAAATTAATCAATAAACATGATTTGAGAGTGTATGATATTACAGTGGGATAGCATGTACCATATAATCACACAAATTTTAGCAAAAGGGTATTTTGGACAATTAACTACAATTATAAAAGGAAATTTTCGGATTTTTAGGGATAATTAATTCTCATAATTTTAAATATCTGAATTTTTTTAATTAATTCACTTTTAATTATAACATAATTTGTAAATATAACTGATTTTATTCTGTCAGAACTTTTTTTTGTTAGAATGATGCTCTTTCAGAATTCTATTCTATTAGAATATTATTAAAGAATAACAAATTTTTTGAATCTGTGGTTGAAAAATAAGAACATTCTAATATATTTTTATACATTCAAACTTAAATACAAATTCATACATATTCGTACAGACTAAAAGTCTTATACATTTTAATATAATTATATATATTTTAAAAGAATATCAACAAAATAAATAAAATTGTTAAAAAATAACAACATTCTTAAATTGTGGGTATGATCAAACTTTATTCATTCTTCAAGTTATTCCTATTAGTTCTTCAACGCATTCTTCTAGCAATTCCTATCATAAATACAACAAAAACTAATAATGGTTAAAAACATGTTACTTGCAATAAACTATCACTTTATATATTCTTGTAGAATATATAGAATATGATACATTCTATATAGAATATGACAGAATACATATAATACATTCTGGCTGAATATATCTATTAGAATGTAACAGTAAAATTCTATTAAAATGCACACTTATCAACTAAAAATCTATTATAATGCAATAATAAAATTATATTACAATGCAACAGTAAAATTCTATTATAATACAACAGTAAAATTCTATTAGAATGCATTATCAACATATAAATGCTAAAATTTTATCAGAATAAACCAAATTCTTTGTAAATGAAACATTTGAAGGTGTTTACATTAACAAAATCTATAATGTCCATATGAATTAAACAATCAGGAACGAGATTGTGATACACTAAATTATGTGCATAAGAGTAACATAATAGAAGAAAAAGGAACAAACACAACAACTAATCCAAATATAACTCAATGATTATTAGACAAACTATTTAATCCAATTTCATCCAACGAATTGTGAAATATATACAGACGAAGCTGGTGAAATTTTAAACAATGAAAAAACTCACAAAAGTACGAAATAGATGAAGTTGGTTTAATTTCATCCAATGAATTGCACATAGATACAGATGAAGTTTATGAAATTCTAAACAATAAAAAAACTCACAAAAGTTATTATCTTCTCGGCAGCAACAAGTGGACAAACCCTAGAAATTTCGCAGCTAGTGGTTCTCCGATTCATAAAGCTGGTGGTTCGATCGTGGTGTGGGATGGTGCTGCTGTTCTAGTGGTGTCGAAATAAGAAGAGAAGAAATGTTTTCGGGGCCTGTAAACAGAGAACAAAATGATGGTGGTGATGCATGATGATTTTAAGAGAAACAGGGAGAGTCGACTTTGGGCTAGGGTTAGAAGAGGAAGATGTCGAATAAAGGGATTTGTTTTGTGATTTTGTAGTGTTTATTAACAGAATTTCCATATTTAAAGGGTATTAATGATTTTAATTATTTACCATATTTATCATAATTAAGATTACTATTATACCCTTTTATGATTTAGTATTGACTTTATTTTTTCTTAATTCTGATTGGTTGTTGAAGGCACACAATATTTGTCAAAAACATTTGAACATATATATATATATATATATATATATATATATATATATATATATATATATATATATATATATATATATATAATACCTTTGCTTGATAAATGATATGATATATAATTTGTAATTATCAATTATTTTTATTTATATACTCTTTAACAAATTTTTTATATTTATAAAACTTCAATTAAATGAATAATTTTATTTTTTTAAAAAATAAATGTATTCTTTTTATTATAACTAAATTTTATGATTTCTAGATATATAGTTATTTTTACTTTATAACATTCTTAAATCATATGTTATTTTTTTAACTATTTGGAAAACATATAAACAATATTTTAAATAAAATATATAACCTATTTTATTACTTTTCTAATTTTATTACGTTGTTTATTTTTTTCGATTTTATTAAAACGTATCAAACATAAATGGTCAATAATACTAATGGTGATCATATTCAAAGAATGATTGATCAAGATCAAGATCAAAATATATAGTAGACCTTATTGCCATCACAAAAAAAAAATAAATAAATAAATAAATAATGGACTTTTTTTTTTATAAATTTGATAAGATAATAACTTTAACAAAAAAAATCTATATATAATGGTGAAAGATAATGCCATAATGGTTGTTCTTAACTTTAAATAAAAGAAAAACTACAACCGTCCTGACACACGAGCAACGTTTTGTGGGGTTTGAACGCTTAAACGTCCAAGTTCGACCGGACTTACTACAATCACGCGTACGCACGTCGGTTTCCTCCAATAGCTGTATGACACGTTGTCAAGATACGTGTTTCAACCAATGGGGACGCTAGACGTGGAATACAGAATACTAGTCTTTTTATCTTTCGAAAGTCAACACCAAACTTCAACCTCCCCTTTCTGAAGATTTACGTAATAAATATGCAACCAAAACCAAACCTGCACTGCATAGACAAAGTTTGTAAGCAAAGCATTATAGTTCTTCCGTGTCGTAGCCTCACCGGAAACAATAGCGATAACCTTTGACTTTCTCCGGTGTCTCTCCGATCTCCGTACACAATCATGGTAATGTTATGGATCTTAGTTTCTGCATTTTTTCATTCATAATTCAACATCATTCTTTTATCTATAAGATCAAAACGACCTACTTACATTCTTCTGTGTTATCGCTGTAGTTCTTTGATTTTGGTTTTCTTCTTGTAATACTATCCAATTTAGAAATCAAATATATATAATTTAAGGATCACGTTTGTAGTGCTGTTTTCGATATGGTTCCATTTGTTTTTAGAGTTTCAACTCTCGATCCAATTTTATCATGAATTATGGAAAAAAAATCGCTCAGATACCACCTACGAAGGTTTATGTTATTAGGTTGGATCCATCTGGTGTGTACTGGTATTGCTATATAACATATTTCTACAATCAAAATCAAATTCAACTCATCAAATTAGGAATTTCTGTGTTTTTAGCAAATTTTGAGTCATAAGTAGTGAGAATTATGACATTCTATTAAGTATGTTATGGATCCTCTATTATTAACCAAGGATATAGTTTCGCATAACCTGTCTTGCTCATTTTGATGATAAGCATTGCATGATTTTTTTTTTTTTTTTTTGAGATGATTATGTGTACCTTTGAAGAACACATCCAAATAAAATTGGAATGTATAAACTTTTAAAAATGGAAATGTGATAAAATAAGTTGTAGATATTGGAAACATCAATGGAAAGCATGTTCAGTATTAGAAATTAAATAAAATAACCATCTACTCAGTATCCCCTGTCATTGCAATTTTCAATAGTGAAATTTCATTTTTGATTACACAAGTCAAAGTCTAACAAACATCATTAATTTCTTTTGCATATTTGTGTTACAGACAACGTCAAAGCGTCTTGCTGAAAGGAAGGTGGGGAAGTTCGATAAGAACATCAACAGGCGTGGATCTGTCCCTGAAACATCCACCAAAAAGGGGAATACATATCCAGTTGGCCCTATTATGCTTGGCTTCTTTATATTTGTCGTCATCGGATCATGTAAAGACTCATACTCACTCCATACAAAAATTCAAAATTTGACTCATTCTCTCTACTTGTCCATTTAGAAAAAAAATTAATTCTAATTTTGCTTTTCTTGTGTAATCATCCAGCTCTGTTTCAGATCATCAGGACAGCTACAACTGGTGGAATGCCTTGAAGATCCTCAAAATTCAACCATTTGTTAACTGTAGTTTCTAGTTTGTAATTCTCTTTTTTATCACACAAAACAAAACGCTGGAATTTAAACCATTTGGGTTTTTACTTTTTTGTTTTCATCTTCGCACACCATAATTAATAACATGCACAAATGAAAGTCGAAAATGATATGGAAATGAAAAATACAAGAAATGTAACGATTTGATTATCAAGCGATTGCTGTTAAGGATGGATGAAACGCAGTCCCACAGACAATCCGTACTCCCTTCCGCACACAACCATTTACCTTCAACCATTCCTTCTTCAAAATGTCATAAGTAATCAATCGATTCGTCATTTTAGATTCAAGAGAAAACATAACCAATCCTCCGTTACCCAAACAAGACAACTTAACGTGCTTTCCATACAACTCCAAGCACAAAACATTTGGCATTCTGTCAACCTCCGTCCACAAGACCGTCATCTTCTGAAGCTCCCATACACAAACACAGCTAGCGGGACCCTTCGTTACCACCCCCACCATCATAATCCGTCCTCCACATTCCGTCAACGCATGGTCCCTCGATTCCGGCGGGAATGGAATCAGGTATTCCTTCCAAACTCCGGAATCCATTTCAAACGACACTATCCCATCCGGATCCGACCTTAGAAAATACAACCACCCATCTGCCGCAACAACCTGTAAAGTTAAGTTTAACGATAATGGTAGCTTGATACATTCCGGCATGGTTCCTAGGCGTTGCCACCTGTCGTTTCTGGAATTGTAAACCTCGTACTCGCCATTAGAGGAAAGCCACATGATCTTATATGCCCCACTTGATTTTTCACTAATCATTCCGACAGCTACTCTTTGCCAGACTTTCGCCGATCTAGTGGGTAATTCTTTGAAGGAACTGGTTAGAGGGTTGCACACATAGAAGGTTCCATGTCCGATGTCGAGAAAACAGAGGAGACCACCGGCGGAAGCCACCGGGAAAAAAATGGTGTTTGTGGGTATTTTGGGGAGAATCGGGTGGTGCCATTTTCTTAAGACTGGGTCGTACATAGCTCCTGAGTTGACGTTTTCATGCGTTATGGTGTAAAACCAAGGTTGGGGTGGCCGGAATTGAGAACATTGACGGGTGAAGCCGTCGGAAGTCAGTAAGGAGTTCCAGTTCCGGCAAACTGATCGGAAACGGAAGAATGCGGCAACCGGAAGTCTTGCGATGACAACCTCGTATAAGTCGTCCGGGAAGTATCTCCAGATCTCTTCCATGGTCTCGTTTGATTTTGAACCACAAGTTTCGATTCGTTTTAGCTCGTTTGGAGCTCTCTTTGATTTCCTGGCTTTCATTAAATTAGAATCGATCTCAATAATTGGGTGAATATTAAATAAGGGCATAAATAGAAGAACCTGTCGTCATGAAGTTGTGACGGCGACGGAGGTGGCAGTGTCGTTGGAGGTTGAGAATGAAAGAAATACGACGGCGGGGCAACTGGAGGCGATGGAGGAGGAGGAAAGCCATGGAGATCTACGAGGTCTTGAACTTGACTGATAAGCTGCCGGAACATTTGTTAACTCCGATATTTAGTGTTGTTGTTCTTTAGGTCTCCATGACTTATTCACAGAAAGCATTACAATTGAATTAGATTAAAATATTATGGAGATAGTGGATCACCATAGAAACAAAGAATCTGATTAGTTGCTTACATGAATTTAAAGTAGGGAAAATGACTTGTAAGGGTAATAATGTTTTACCAGTGTTCACATTATACAATTAACGTTTTTTTTTAACACAAAATACCATTAAAATGTTTTTGCTGTACATACTTTACCATTGGTAACCGGATACAATAGGTATCCCGGTAATTTATTTATTAAAAAAAAAAAAAACAAATTATGTGGAAAATACGTGGCTCACCCCTCTCCATTAAATACCCTCACCCTCACCCTCTAACACCCCGTTGTGTAATTTTCTCAGTCGAAGTTGAGATCGATCATGGCTGGTCCATCTAATGCAAAAGGATCAACTTACATTCAAGTAGATGTTCATTACGATGGAATGTTTTCCCCCATTCCTCATCTTATATACTACCTGAATCAAAAAACGTCAATTACAGATGTCGATTTTGGTGGATTAAATTTCAAGGAGTTCATTCATGTTCTTGAGGATGTCACAAAGGGGAAGTGTCCTGTTGTCTACTACTGTCTTGGGCATAAGTCAATGCGTGATGGGTTGACACCACTGAAAAACGATGATGACTACAGGAGGTTTCTTGATGTTGCACATGGTAACGAGGGAAAGATTAATGTATATATTGATCACTACAACGATTCGGTGCTTGACTGGATAGAGGAAGAAAAGGAAGAAAAAAATGTTGATAGTGAAAGCTCTGATGAAGATAAAGACTCGGTCATGTCTGATGCTCTATCTGTTGATCATGAACCCGATGAAGAGGTAATACCATTGACTAAATCTGATGATCCCTTTCTTAACTATATTAGTGTTGTCCCTAGAGATGAGTTTGTTGATGAGGATGATGATTCAGATAATGGAACCAAAGAAGCCCCAATTTACCCTTATCATGACTCAACTCAGAAATGGGATACAATGCAACCCATCCTTGGTATGAGGTTTTGTAACCCTCAAGAACTTAAAAGATTACCTGGCAGACCTAAAGTCAACAGGAAGAAGGCTGCTTCAGAAAAAGAAGGTCGTCATACTATTAGCAAGAAAGGGGCTATTACAAAATGCAGCATCTGTAGAGAACCAGGACACAACAAAATAACATGTCCATTGTCCAAAGAAGGTTTTTTTCATATCAAGTATCATTCATTTACCAAAAAAAATATAAGTATTATCTATTAATGCATTATAAATTTTAATGTAGGACCAAGTACTAAAGCCAAAAAGAAGAAGGGTAAACATGTTCCTGATGTTGAGGATGAGTCTGAATTTGAGATTGAAGAGATGGATGAAGTTGAAAATGAGTATGAATCTGAGATTGAAGAGCTGGCTGAAGATGGTGATGAACCTGATCAGGGACAAGTTGAGGAACCTGCTGCACAACCCGTTGTTGAAGTTGAACAAAGAGCACAACCATTGAAGAGGAAAAGGAAATACTCAGAGAGGATCACTAAAGTGGCATTAAGTAGGGTGGTCAACACCAAGGATGGATGTGGTTTAAGTGTGAATAAACCTGTTACACTGGAATGATTCCCTTTGATGTAAATCTGCACATTAAAAACTGTGCTTTTGTTTGTTTAAGGATGAAATTACTATGCTTGTCTTTTGCTAAAAACCATGCTTGTCTTTTGATGTAAATATGCACATTAAAAACAGTGCTTTTGTTTGTTATTACCCTTTAAATATAATCTACATCGTTCAATGTTGCTTTTACATATGATTCCTTGTTTTTGACCATTATGCCCTTCATATTATTTTTTACCATTATTCACATTAGATCATATTCAAACACAAGATTCTGCACATTATGCCCTTCATTTTGACCATTATGCCCTTCATTTTGACCATTATGCCCTTCTGCACATTAAGAGGTAAAATTCTGCAAGATTCTGCATTTTGACCATTATTCAAACACAAGATTCTGCATAGTTGTTTGTACAAGAGTTGTTTGTACAAGGGTAACATTCTGCACATTATTTTTACCATTACTCACATTAAATCGTATTCAAACAAAAGATTCTGCAAAGTTGTTTGCAAAGTTATTTTTACCATTACTCACATTAAATCATATTTTTACCATTATGCCCTTCATTTTGACCATTATGCCCTTCTGCACATTAAGAGGTAAAATTCTGCAAGATTCTGCATTTTGACCATTATTCAAACACAAGATTCTGCATAGTTGTTTGTACAAGAGTTGTTTGTACAAGGGTAACATTCTGCACATTATTTTTACCATTACTCACATTAAATCATATTCAAACAAAAGATTCTGCAAAGTTGTTTGCAAAGTTATTTTTACCATTACTCACATTAAATCATATTTTTACCATTATGCCCTTCATTTTGACCATTATGCCCTTCTGCACATTAAGAGGTAAAATTCTGCAAAGTTGTTTGTACAGGGGTAACATTTTGCACATTATTACCCTAATAAGACAATGCATGAATGCTCATTCAATGTTGTTTGTACTTAAGATTAAATCATATTCAAACTTAAGCTAAACATGTCCATTCAATCGTATTCAGCAGAACATGTTCATTCAATCATATTCAGCAAAACAACCATAATATCCGATTACAATTTGACATTTATGCCCTTAAAAGTGATACTACAAACAACATAAACAACACAATTACATATGTTTTGAGACTGCTAATTTTTCTAATTATCTTATCAAATTCTTCATCTGTCTTCTTTTTGTAAATATTGAAATCATGGTCCATAATTGCAATCCTCACTTCACAAGATTGTGCCCTTACTTCACAGGATTGTGCTCTCACTTCATCTCTTTTCTTCTTGTTGACTGTATCTTCTTCATTAACCCATTCCCAGAATTTGCATTTAATTTCTGGGTTATCCTAAAACAAATATACGAAAATTATTGAAAGACCTTACTACATATAGAATAAACCCGACATACCGTTGAATTAGGGCAAACCCTAAACTCTTTTCCAGGATTATCTTTGGTCGTTGAAGTCCAGATACGAGAAGGGTAGCCACAATCACAGGGATTTGCAAAATCAAGTTTCGATTTTGACTTGATTTTCTTCGATCTGGTGTTGGAGGTGTACGTAGAGGAGGAGGAAGCATTAGATGGACCAGCCATGATCTCAACTTCGACTGAGAAAATTACACAACGGGGTGTTGAGGGTGAGGGTGAGGGTGTTTAATGGAGAGGGGTGAGCCACGTATTTTCCACATAATTTGTTTTTTTTTTTTTAATAAATAAATTACCGGGATACCTATTGTATCCGGTTAACAATGGTAAAGTATGTACAGAAAAAACATTTTAATGGTATTTTGTGTTAAAAAAAAACGTTAATGGTATAATGTGAACACGGGTAAAACATCATTACCCTTACAAGTCATTTTCCCTTTAAAGTATATAGCGACGGTGAACTTTTGAAATGGATATTTTCTTTTTTTCGGAAAATTAGCCATTAATTTCATTTATTGTAGATCCAAGATGTTACGATTTAATTAACATAAAATCAAAATGCTTCTAATCCAGCTAATTTTATTTATTGTAGATCGAAGATGTTAAGATTTAATTAACATAAAATCAAAAGCTTCTAATCTAGGTGTATGAAGTATTGGTGAATGAAAAATAAGTGGAAGCAGGAACCGCACCCAGAAACACCATACTCTAAGTGTGATTTAGGGGGTGAGGGGAAGATACCCCGCTCCCTCTCTCTTCCTTCCATGGTTCGTGTTCTTGACAAATAGATATGCAAATGATTTGGTTAAGATCTTCCATGGTGTATTGCGAGACAGAGGCTAGCATCTCTTCGCCAATGCCATCGACACTTCCGACATCAACAACGATATCAAATCCAACAACTTCACCTTGTTTGCGCTGATGTATATCTTCGATCTATTAAGAGCCTTCTGCTTTGTGAGAATTACTTTCCTACACTCATGACCGGTCATAATATTCTCGTTGGACAACATCGGGATCCAAAATCGTTTCTTAGAGTCAGAGGTGTTAATATTGTTGTTCCTGGTGTGTTGTATGGCATATATATTATTCTGCACATATTTGATGTCATTCTTGAGTTCAGACCTCATACGAGACGTTCACTTCTGAATGTGTTGATTGTTTGGTCAAAGTTTTTGATGTCGTATAGACCTATGTATTTATATGAACCTCATATGGAGAAAAAATGAGTGTCTTTTGAGTCGATTATGATAAAGTTTAATCTTAAGTTGTTTGAGGAAGAGTGGTGACTGGTTTCTGTAAATGGGAGATACAAAAAGCTTTGTGGAAGAAGAGGATGGGTGAGATGTGAGGTGGATTTTAGTTTTATTTTGTGTTTTAGTGAAAAAGGTCTCATCTATTGTTTTGAAAATGGGACCGCACTGGCCGGTTGAATCGGTTCAACCGGGAACCGGTCGTGGTTTTGGTTCTTTACCCCCGAAAACCGTTTGTCCCTTAAACCGGAAAAACCGCCAGTTTTCTTCGACCCGCGGTGTAACCAGTCCAAAAGGCCGGTTCAACCGCCTTGAGAACTGTTTTTTTTGTTTTGTTTTCTAAAAAATCATCGGGAAAAAACTATCTCAATCGAGTATCGACTGAAGAGAACCACTGATTTTCGTTTACAACCCAAACTCTAAACCTAATGTCGACTAACACAATTGACTAAAGAGAAAAGTACCTCCTGTTTTCAATTTCTCCTTGGTCGACATCATCACAATGACACAGAGGGCAAGGATTTCTCCGATTTGTGCTCCACCATCGGCGACTAGGCGAGGATTCCTTCCGATTTCCACCACAATCGACACTTTCATAATACAAAGGTCAAGTAGTCGACACTTCCTATAAAGCTATCACAATTTCTCTTTTATATAGACTGAAATTAAACACTTACATATGGCTCCAGTGTTGGGGTCGGGATTATTTTCAGAATCAGAAAGCATTTAGAGCTTTTGTACAGTTAACAATGATGTTGGTGATTTAATATCATCAATATTATTTAAGTGTAATAGGATTAAATTTGATGACCAAAAGTGATCTTGTTAAATATTGAACAAGTTAGGATGATGCAGAAACGCACACTTGTTCAAGTTTTCAAGATTCAAAGTACACTATTATTTAAGAGTGAAGCCCCTAAACGAATGGGGGTCCGAGGGCAGTGCCCCTGGGAACGGGGTCCGAGGGGTAGAGCCCCTGGCTGGGGTCGATTTTTAGAAAATGGACTCATTTTGACCCTTTCCCTAAGATCCGTTTTTATGACAGGTTTTAGCAGTTTTATGACAAGTTGTAATTGTCTTGTGACAATTTTAATACAGGAATCATATAGTCGTTTTTTGGTCATTTTCTGGAACACTTCTTTAAGAACATTTCACATATATTCTCTGATTTCGTAATCTTTGAATTTCATCCAATTAAGTGTTTGATATGTACCATAGAAATACTTCAATTTGATAGTGAATCACGACTTTCAAAGAATCCAAGCAATCTGTTCATCTCCTATTTCTAACAATTGATGCCAAGCCTGACTTGTTGTATATTTAACAATTATAAATTGCTTATCATTTTCAGAAAGCATTTTGATTGTTTATCACATTTACTTGTTTATGATTGTTTAGGATTGTTTAGCATATTCCCTATTTCTCTGCTAAGTGTTAATATATACTTTTCTTTTATGATTGTTTAGCATGTTTACTTGTTTAGGATTATTAATAATTCAATATAAAAGTAACATTGGTACGTTGAAAACTTATGTTTGTTGGTATTTTGGTTTAAAGATTATTTTTGTATTTTTTTTTGGAATATTTTATAATTTTAAATACAATAATAATGTAATAATAACAACATACGGTTCTGTAACATCCATAAAATTCTTGAAAATTTTAAACTTTTTAATCAACCCAAAAACCATCATTGTTTACAAATTGTTTTCGAAATAAGTTTCACATCAAAGAAATCCTAAAATTGTAAAACAAAAACATGAGGAGGTGCATGATCACACCTTCGCATTCCCACGATCCTCTGAGGTACCTGAAACATAATCCAAAACTGTAAGTCTAAAGCTTAGTGAGTTCCCCCACAATACCACCACAACACATAATCAAAGATATCACAACAACAACAAGCATACAGAACCTTCAGCATGTCTGGACCGCTGCACCGGGCCTTAAGCCTGTCTGGACTGTTATCCGGGCCTTCGGCCTGACTGGTCTTCCTCACAGGCCTTCAGTCTATCTGGGACGCCCTGGGTCTGTTGGCCTTCATCACAAAGCAGGACCGCCTCAACCCAACCACACACACATGTCGACATATACATAACTCATCAACATATACTCAATCAACATACAACCATAGATCTTACAGATCAATAAGCATAACAGTATCCCATCTACCAGGATAAAGCTCTAATAGATTACTATAATAATCAATCAGGAAATAATTAGGATAATCTATCCACAAGGACCGGACTTGGTGCCTTCGGCCCAACAAGTATAGTAAGCAACACTCACCTCTCAAGTAGTGCACAACTGATAAGGTCTGACTCTGAATCTCATC